CTGGGTGGATGTGAAATTCTGTATTTTTAACAAGCTCTCTGGCATGCGTTCAGGGCACAACACAGATAGTGAGGTTTTAAACCACTAACTCTCAAACTTAACTTAAAGTTTGGGAGTTTAAATTAATCCTGATGCCTGGGTAGTAACCCCAGAGATTCTAATTTTATTGGTCTGGGCTGTGGGCTGGGGATCAGGCATTACAAAGTTTTTTAGTTGAAGGGTGCCTGGGTGGCTTTGTCAGTTAAGTCTCAGATTTTGGTTCTGGTCATGATCTCATGGTTTGTGGGTTCGAGCCCTGCATTGGACTCTCTGCTGTCAGTTCAGAGCCTGCTTTGGATCCTCTGTCCCCCCACTCTTCCCCTACACTGCTCGTGCTCTCTCTTTCTCTCAAAAACAAATAAGCATTAAAAAAAATTCTTTTAAGTCTTTCAGTTAATTCTAAGATGCAGCAAAATTTGATTTAAATTCCAGTGTGGGTATACCCACCTATACAATGATTACAATAGCATATAGCTATCTCATAGGGACAGGAAGGGAAATGGATTATATAGCGAATATGGTACACCTAGCTCATAGAGAGGGTTCAATAATCCAAGTGAAGGGTTTTTTTTTTTTTTTTGTTTTGTTTTGTTTTTGTTTTTGCCTTCCAAATTCTCAGATGGCACAGACGGGTTCTGGCGTCTGGACATTTCCCCTTTCTTTAATAGCTTTCTTACTCTCTTGAGTGCTGAGAAACATTCTAGGAGAAAAGGTGGCTTTCAATTCACATTTCTATACTTTTTAGAGAATTTTTAGTCTTTTTTTCTCTTTTGGGTGGCTTGTTTGGTATCTTTTCCCTAGAATATGGTCTGTGTTTTTAGAGATTTTCTTTGATTATTCATTTAAGGAATAGTTATTGAACGGCTATTATGTCCCAGGGGATGGGCTGGGCTGTGAGGACCCAGTGCTGAATAAGATTGACAGGATTCCTGCCTTCTAGGAGTTTAGATGCCAGAGAGGAAGTACATAAAGAGAACCAGGGTAAATAGCATCATGCCCACAAGGACAGGACAAATAGGGAAGAAGACAGCAGGGAATTAGGTGAGGCCAGAAGAGTCAAGAAGGCTTCTCTAAGGAGATCAGAACAATGATGAGAGTTAGCCAGAGAGAGAGAGTGAAGTGAATATTCCAGGCAGAAGGAAGAACACTTCCAAACACCTGGTGGCAAGACTGAACATGAAAGGTTTGAGGAACTGGGAGAAGTTCAATGTGATTTGAGTATCAAGCACAAGGTGGGAGGTGGCATGAAGTGAGAGAGGAAAGAAAGATCTTGATGTGGAGGGAGCTGGTTTAGAGAGCTTAGATTTTAGGAAGGCTGCTGGGTCCACAGTGGTTGGAGAATGGAATGTTGGAGTGGGAAATGTTCACACATCAGGACTTGAATTCCAGCTCTATGACCCAGTGGCTGTGTGATGTTGGCCGTGCTACTCAACGTCTCAGAGTCTCAATGTCACTGTGCACAATGTGGGGATAACAATACCTGCCTCACAGGGCTGTTTTGAGGATTCAGTGAGTGTGTTGTGAAAAGTGCAGGACATGGAAGAGCTTGATAGGTGGTCATTACTACTCAGTCCCCAGAATGATGGTGCTATCTAGAAACGGGATTTGTAAGAGGTAAGACAGGAGCCAGGATGTGAGTTAGGAGGTGACAAGGGTGACACAGGTGAGATGGTGCTGGTGAGGACAAGAGAACTTGATGAACTAGACAGATATTGATTGGATAAATAATAGGAAAGAAGGGTTGTGAAAGACTCAGATCATCCTTGAGATTTAGGACATAGGAATAGTGACAAGTTTGGGGTGAGTACTTTGAAGTCAGTTTTACATGTTGAGATTGTATCCATCAGGGATCATTTACAGAGAACAGACGTCATGCCAGCTTGTTTAGCAGGAAGGCATTTATCACAGACTTGCCAAGAGGGCTGAAGACACAGAATCTAGGTTGGGCTTTCAGGAGAAACCTCTAATGCTGTCCCACAGAACAGGGCTGCTTGGTTGGCTGCTGTCTTTTCAACAATCTTGCAATCAGGAAGCTGCCCCTCTAGAGCCACAACACCACTGTTTCAAACAGGAAACCACCATAATCAGGAAGCAGCTACTGCTGCCAGATCTAGAACCACTGCTAATCTGCAACAGACATGTCATCAGAGTGGATGTTCCTGTCCCTACGCTCAGACTCACTGCACCCACCAACCTCATATCTGAACACCGGAGCCTCTGCAAATGCCACCTGCAGAAAACCCAACACTTCCACAGAAGTGGGCTTGCTAGAAAAGTGGACAACGTTCTAAAATCTTGTCCATCTTGTACTAAACTCTTCTAGAACCCAAGCTGCAATAGAATTAGCAAAGTGTATTTTGAACCTTCCAACTTGTGGAGCAGGGAAAGTCACACTACAACAGCATTTGTAGACTGTGGGTTGTGACTCATGACAGCATCATCAAATCTATTCAGGTGGTCACAACAAGATTTTTTTTTCTTAGTCATGAGCAGTTAGGGTAAGTATTGCTTAATGTATCCTTGGTCTTAGAGTTGTGTGTGTGTGTACACATTTTTGTTTGCAGAGTAGAGCATTTCTTCTCCTGAGTCATGGTAAACACACTTGAAAGCCACTACACTAGATGTGGAGTGCCAATCTTCCATTGTAAGGTCTCAGAAATAACTAATGGGTAGAGCCCAGTGGCTACTGAATATGTGGGGTTGAATTTTAGGAGCAAAGCAAAGCTGGAGAGACCAATTATGCAGTCATTGGCAAGAAGATGCCATTGAAACCAGGGGGAGTTGATTAGGCCATGCAGGGAGATAGCATGGAGTGTGAAGAGAAAAGAGGTCTGGAATAGACCACAAGGAATATGGACATTTGGTCTTGGGGGAGAATTTTCCTCCTGGGGTTGTGCTCATCCTTCATGCTTTCTGGTGTTTTTTATTTACTCTCTAGAGAAAGAACTGGATCCAGGGAAGCTCCAGAGTGCCTTGTGACCCCATGTTAATTGGAGCTGATTCTGTAGCAGCCTGGTGGAGCCATGGCTCATACCGTGCTGGGTCACGAACCAGCACCTGGCATGGGGTCCTAGGAGCATACCACACTGGCATTCAGGAGTTGTGTGTGGAATGGATGTTCAGAGCACAGAAGTTCTAGGAAAGATGGAAAGAGCTTTTTAGATTCCAAAGCTCCAGCTCATGAGCTGTGACCACAGACGGGTCTAACCTCATCAGTCAAGGTTGACTCAGTAGTGTCAGGGTACTATTTATAATTTTCAAAGAGTATTTTTGCTATATAGAAGAATAGAAGGAGCTGTTCAGGGAGATATGTTCTTTGTAGCAATATCAAGAGGCAAACTAAATGTTCATCCATAGAAACATGGACCACCTGGCATAGTCAAACAATGAAATAGGATAAAGCAGTTAAATAGGTGAGCCAGATCTACGTGTGTCAATCTGTATAAATATCAAAAAGTTAACATTACATGAAAAATTTCAAGTCACATAATGTGATATGAAGTATGATATCATTTATTAAAAATTTTAAAGCACACAAAATTGTACTATACATACTTATGGGAAAAAAACTAAAAAATTATGTAAGTGAAGGGGGTGTGCAAACTTCTGGGCAGTGGCTCTCTTGGGGGAGGCTACAGGGAAATGGATGGAGGAATGAGACTTTGCTCTATCTGCAATGTTTTCTTTTTAAAAAGAAGCAGAAGCAAATATGGCAAAATATTAATAGTTATTAAATAAGCAGTGAGGCACTGGAAGAAATTATTTTCTGTTCTTTTCATAATTAAAAATAAATACAAGTGTATATACATTTTGCAATGCCCAGAGCAAGAATCAAGCTTCCTCCCCTGACAACAGGTTAAGCAGGTGACCTGTAAAACAACTACTAGAGCAAAGTGGGTATGCACACACACACACACACACACACACGTGTATATAAAACACACATATATAACACAAACATGTGTGTATATAATACACATACATACACATATGTGTACATGTATACATATATTATACACACACATATATACACACATGCATAACTTCAAATTAAAACAGTAAGCTTTTAATTTTTAAATTATTTCTTCAGTTTCTGAGAGATTATACTTTTCTATACGGGACCCTGACCTTTTTCTGTGATTTGACCATGAATCTACAGACTATCTGTGTCTCATTTTGAATGATGATCCTGGAGGATCCAAGTGGTGCAAAGAAGAACAAAGGAAGTCCCTGAATGCTGGGGACCACCATGGTGGAGGGCTGGAAAGATATGACCTGAGGAATTACAGAAAGACTACAGGACAAAGCCAATAAAGGCTGGTGGGAAATAATGGAGAGGGGAGTCAGGAGGCTGGGCTCAGCTGCTAGCTCAAATCCCAGCTCTGCTGCTAACCACATGTGAGGACTTGATGTCTCTGCCCTCTAGTGGGCTTGCATTCAAACTTTGGTTTAGCTCATCTCTCAGGACTTTTTCCAGACACGACTTCTCAATCCTCTTAACTTAAGGGCTTTGTCCCCCCATGCCAGAATAATCAGTGGTATTCCAGGGATTCTGGAAGGCTCCCTTGTTTGGTAAATTCTACCCAATTTCCTTATTTCCTCCCTCTACAGATTGTTCCTATCAACCCTCCTGGGCATGCTGTGCCCTCCTCTGAGCCAACCTTTGTGTGACTGGGGAATTTAAGAGGGAACTGGGGTAAGTTGAGGAGGCATCAGTGGGTGATAGACAGACTGGGTGAAGAAAAAGTTACCAAACTTTTTGGAGAAAGAAAGTCTTATAAATTTCTCAAGGGTAGGAACACATCTACACTGATAGTTTCTTATCAACTCACACATCATCCTTCTATACAAGTTCCGCATGTATACTGTGTGTGTGTGTGTGTGTGTGTGTGTGTGTCTGACTGAGCTCCAGTTGGGTTTTGCCCAAGGGGACATATGTTTCGGGTAGCTTGGGTTCCCAGTTAGAGAAATTATTTATTTTATTTGCATAGATACTACCACATTCCCAAGGGCTGGTTAACCCTCAAAGAGTAAGAGAATCTAGTTTTAAACTTTCCAGGTTATCCACTCCCTATTATTTTCAGTTGAGTTGCTAATGATTACCTTTTTTTTTCTGTCTTGCTACAGAACTGCTTTAAATGTCCTGTGTCTTCAGCTGTTGGCTTTCAGAGCATTGCTTGACAGAGATTGAGAGTAGGAATCACTCAAGTGCAAAAGTCAGGTGTTTCTGCTCAGAGAAGGAATGGGATTCTTTCTGAAGTTTGAGTATGAGACAGTAGAAAATTTCCTTAGTTTATACAAGCTTAGATTGGAGATACCTTTTCAAGAATGCATGAGTTGGCTTAAACAAGGTTCATTTGTCCTTCTGAGTTAGAGTATAACTCAAATGCCACATACCCCCTTACTTGCTAGTTTTGGGTCCTCGAAACCTGTCTCTGTGTTTGCAACATACTTGGCTTGCTCAATTCAAAACTTCTAATGCCCGCTCCTCCCAAAGAATCTACTCATAGAAAGTGTTATGAGAAATGTAGACTTTACTGAATATTTCATAGAGGAGGCCGAAGAGGAGGTTAACATACTATGCTGCTCAGCAAATGACTTAAATTTTTTCCCTAGCTATTTTGTTTTTCCAATTCTTTCTCATCCATACCAACAAGACTGGGTCTTTTTTTTTCTTTCTTTCTTCTTTTACACTTTTTTCTAGTCTTTCTCTGACAAATGCACCCGACTTCCTACATTTTTCTTTTCCCTCCTCTTTTTTTGAGAAAAATGCAAATTTTGCTCCAGTCTTTTGCATGGCAGTTAAGGGTCCCTTTTTTCTTCTGAAGCATAAATTCTGAGGATTTATACTTCAAGCTGAATGGTCCTTCTTTCAAACAGATAAGGTGCTCCTTGGAAATGATGGATGGATGTAAAGGTAGGTTGATGGAGCTAGAGAAATCTCATGGTTACCCAACTCAGGAGAGGAGTTTACCATTGTTCAGAAGTCCTTCTCACCATTTACAGGGCCATAATCATTTATCAACAACACTTTGGGGCCTTAATAACCCTTCACAGAAATGGTTCCCTAAGAGAGATCATGTGAGAAATGACGGCAGCTATTGCCTGACCAAATGGCTGCATCACCATGACCACTGCACACTGATGGAGCATTTGCAGAATGCACAGCCCTTCCCCACAAGAAACAAAAGGTGTCTGCTATTGACTTACTGTCAATCTTAACTTGAATGGAGTCAAGCCTGGTCAGGTGGTTTTCCAAATACCAGGAGGCCTTTTAGATTCAGGATGGTCAGTTGGGCAGTCCTTTCTTTTATACATTTTAGATCCCACTGTTCACATCATTTGGCAAGGTACCATGAGTCTTGTCCCCAAATTCTGACTGTGCTGAGGTGGCATGCAGCCAGATACTACTAGTATCATTGGATTTATATTGGTGTGAGGGCCTTTCCTTTGGTTACGGGGCTTCTAGAACACTGCTTGGGATCTTAGTTCACAGGTCTGGGATGAGAGATCCTGGTCTTCTGAGATGGTAGAGATTTTGGATAGATTCAAATCCAGCCCCTTCACTTCTCAGACATGGATCCAGAGTTCCAGGGAGGGGAAAGGAATAGCTCCAGGTCATACAGTGAGTTAATGATTGGGCCAGGGCATGAATCCATCCCTTCTGATACCTATGTGGGACTTTTCCCACCACACTGCCTTGCTTCCCTGCCTTCTATTTGAAAGATACTTCATTCAAAACTGTTCTTTTTTTTTTTTTTTTTTTTTTTAACCCTGGAGCTGTATCTTCCCAAGAGACAAGAAGGAGAAGCGTGTTATTTAATACCCTTTGTGGTTTTAGTCTTGGTCTTGAGTTTTCTTTTTGCCCAAGTGTTTGATGGATGAATACTGTATGGTAGAGAGTTGCTTTCTTCCTGAAGGCCAGGAGAAATGGTTCAGTCTAAACTACTATATAAGAAGATGGACAACACATTCTCAAGAGGAAAGGTGTTTGTATCCACATACTGGAATTTATCCACTTTGACTGATATGGTGGTATTGACCTGCAGATGCTCCAGCAAGAACTGAGAGAGATTTTGGTATATGTTTTTGTTTTGCACTCCAGATTCACACACTGTCACCAGCGCCTGCTTTTTGACATCTTTGTTGATGAGAAGCTCCAACTTTAGGTCAACAGAATGTTCTGGGCATTTCACGAGAAATTGCAGTTGGCAAATGATGAAGTACCAACCTGGGAACTGGATTACCAGATTCCCATCCTGATAGCTGACTCCATGGACAATGCCATCTTTGTTCCAAGACAACTTGGATTTGTTTATATGCTTTGACACTAGAAAGAGAAGGATAAGAAGACAGAATTATTGGGCATATTTCAGGGGCAGATTGGAAATGTGAAGTTTTTATTCAAGGTTTCCCATTTGAGACTCGTGTTTTCTATAGTATTTCCTGCTGTTCCAACCATCTGGAATATCTTACATGTTACTCATCCTAGGCACTGCTTAACATTCAAGGGACAGGTGCAAAACACCCCTCTTCCTTTTTCTCTAATGCTTAAAGCTGAAGGGTCAGAACATACATGGTAATGGACTGCTACCTCTTATAGAATCATTTTCCACTTAATAATATATTATATTATATTACATTATATTATTATTATTATTATTACTATCTTTCCTTTTTGAGACTGTGAGCTCTTGTACTGTATTCCCCCATAAGTTCTGGACCATCATGTTGATTTATTCAATCAATCAATGAATGCTTCATCAATAAGGGAGTACTATTTGGTAGACATTGCATAAAGTGAGATATGATATTTAGTTTTTTTTTCAATTAGTAACCAATTCAGGCATCAAGTGTCCAGCAGAACTGCAGTCTGTTGATTTTCATATTAAGATGTGTCCTTAACAACTCATTGTCTGAATTTTTTAATGTATTCCTCTTTTTAAAAGGGCAGCCAAACATAATTGTATAGATCACACAAGTGTACAATAAGGGACTCTTCCCAGCTGGGATTTATAGAAAAGCAGACGATGTGGCAGACATTTTCATGTGGAAAGCCAAGTCTCTCTGAGTCCTAACAAGTGAAAATCAGCACTGATTAGTCAGGGTGCCTTTCAGAACTGGAAAGCTGGCATTCGTTTTAATTGCCTTCCCTTTAGGCCTCATTGCGATTCAACTGAAGAGTGAGAACTAATCTAGCTGCAAAATTGAATTTTTAAAATGGGCAGAATGGCTATTCAGAGAATCTTGGCCATCCTCTCCATATCTCAGCTTTCACAGTGTAAGTGCCTTGTATTGTTTCCTTTATAAGGGGCCTCTTACCTGATGCATGCTGCAATATGCAAATAGGCTATGTGCCAGCATGTTCATTAAGCTGTCAATCGGGGGACAAGGCAATTTTGTGGTTCCCTTGTGAATAACTTGACAGAGGCAAAGACTAAAAGCCTGCTTCTCTTTCATGAGGAAAAGCACTGTACACTTGGCCCAAAACTTGTATGTGGCTGAATAAAGAGGGACCATGGGGGTGGGGCACAAATGCCTTCACAGGCCAGGTTGGTAATGCAAAATTGGGAAGGAGGCTGAGGAAGGAAGAGTCTTGTGAGTTCTCCCCTTTACCCCTAAGGCCTTTTTAAAATATATATTTTTAAATGTACATTTATTTATTTGAGAGAGAGAGCGAGCGAGCAGGGGAGGGGCAGATGGGGAGGGAGAGAGAGAATCCCAGGTAGGCTCTGCACTGTCAGTGCATAGAGCCCGATACAGGGCTCGACCTCATGAATAGTGAGATTATGACCTGAGTGGAGGCCAAGAGTCAGATGCTCAACTGACTGAGCCACCCAGGTTCCCCTCCCCCTAAGGCTTTTAAAATCAAATTATAAAAAATAGCATGCAGGCTATAGACCATATCTGCAGGTCATATTTAGCCATGGGCTTCTACTTGTGACCTCTGGGTTAGAGGTTTCAGAAAGGCCACAGGAAGTGGCCCTCATATGGATGGAGTTCCTAGATTCAGTTACTGACCTTGGAGGTAGGCCCATGACTTCTTGAATGGAGCCTTTTCCAGTATACATGAGATGTCTTCTGAGCAATTTCCTAAAAATAAGGAGATCACACATTAAATGTCTTACTCTACTCTGGGAACTGGAGACACCAGATCTTTTTTCATGACCCTTTGATAGAGACAATTAGTATTCTGTTTCCATTTGGAGGTCTAAAAGGAAACCTGTTTATTTATCATTTTTGCCACCAAGTATCTTAAGGTTATTTTCAATTGGTTGCTTCCACTTGGACATTTACAAAAGATTGGAAATTGGGGGAAGAAAACTAATATGACCTGAATTCCCCTAAGTGCCAGGTGCCATTCCTGTCGGTTTACATACTTCCATTCACTTAATCTTTGCAGCAACTCTATTAGAGTGGTATTATTAAGTCCCTTTTATAGATGGAAAAAAGCCTAGGGACCAGACAGATTAAGCACATTGTCCCACATCACTCAGCCAGGCAGGGATGCTCACAATGATAAGACTGATAGTAATTACTGCTATCCTTCTTTTGAGAGTGCACCAGATACTGGTCTGTGTACTTTTATATATTTCTGCTGATGTAATTCTCAGAATAACTCTGCAAGATTGATCCCGATGCCCAGACATAGTCAATGATACAAGGTCAAGGAGGTTAGTGATAACGTTGAGATTTATCCCCATGTTTGATTCCAGAGACCAGGTTTCCTCCTCAAAATCATTTGCTGGACAGTGGCAATAAACACATTCTTGTGCTCAATTTTAAGAGGATATAGGATTAAAGAGATCTAAGCAGGAAGCCTGCTATCTGGAGTTTCCTTGGCAGGGGAAAATGACAGTGTTTATGTCATCTTGGTATTTAAGAAATACAAATATTTTTAATATATTCACTGGTGATGCTGGCTTAGCAGCTTCTTATTATAGAAACTATTTTATATGCAAAGAACCAAGTTATACATTTCCTGCAATGACTCATGAATTCAACGTACTCTGTGTAAATTCCTTCTTGTCTTTGGATCTTGGTTTCCCATCTATAAATCTGGGAGATCTAAGACCTGACACTGACCTCTTTTTGATGGTGTCTCTGGAGTGACCATTCATTCTGTCCATCAGAGACTAGATAGCCATGGGCTGGTTCAGTTGAAGCAGTCATACCCTGATGTGTTTGCTCCCTGGATCTCTGATTGGTATCTGTTGGGCTCACAATCTTTCAGGTTTCCCTCTCTGCCCCAGGCTTGAGGAAATCCCTTCTGGCCTCCTCATTTCCCCATGGAGCCTTGGAAAAGTTGAAAGTTAAGTGAAGAGTTCCCTCTGCTGTCTGAACAAGCTCACTGCCAACAGCAACTCCCGCTTACCCTCACCCCTGCCACATCACCACAACCCCCAGAAAAGCAGGGAACAGTTTTCATCCTTGTCTGCCCTCAACCCATAAAGATGCTCTGGCCCAAAGGTCTCCTTGGTGATGAGGACTGGTAGGCCAGCTGCCATTCTTTTGATCCCACCTCTTACCTGTTTCCACCACAGCCCACGCTCTTGAGGTGTTAGAATCAAAATTACAATGTGAGGCCTGCTTATTTTCTAATGAACTGTGAATGGTGTTAAGGGTCCCTCTGGCCAGTATGTGGAACATCAAGTCAGAAAAAGTTGCAGTGAGGCATACCTGACTGTGTCTCTTCTTTGCTTGAATCCCTTTCTGACTTTCCTGTGCCTGCAGGATCAGGGCCAAGATCTCCACAGGAGTTCGTGGTTCCTAGCATTCTGTCCCTACTGCATTTTCCAGTCTCACACCCCACCTTCCCTCTTTCCCTCAGACTCTCAATCCCAGTAGCAGTAGTAGACAAAATAACAGCTAGTACAAAATGAATGCTGGCTATTTTCCAGGTACTGTGCTAAGTGTGTTACATTCTGTCTTTCACTTACTTCTCGCCACCACCCCATGAGAAAGGTACTACAATGATTTCTGTCCCGCATACAAGGAAGCCAAGGCTTTAAAAGGTTAATGACTTGTTCACATTTGCACAGCTAGTCAGTGGTGGAGTGAGATTCAAACCTAGGCTGTCTGACTCTAACACCCAGGTAGATCGTTGATGACCGTACTGGTTAATTTGCCTCATCACCTGGAATCTCCCTTCACTGGAGTTTTACTCCTTATTTAATGCATAGCCTGGAAGTCATCTCTGACCTTCCCTGTTTGCCTATTTGCCTCCTCCATTAGACTGTGAACCCTCAGGGCAGAGACAGCTACTTATATATCCCCACTGCTCACCCCGAAGATGCTCTGTAAATGTTTGTTGAATTGAGTCATCTACTCTGTCCCTCTTACTTCCCTCCATGGATATCAGGTGAGTTCTGGCATGAGTGAGGTGAATGGGGATGCTTGGCTTGCTTTCCCCTTGGGGCTGGAATACCAACCTCATTCTCCCATAGTTCTTCAGGTGAGCTTAGATTAAATGGGAGGGTAGAGACTCATTAAGAGACTCATGCCCTGGGCTTGGGCTGAGGCCAACACACATCATGAGAATCAGCATTACAAAAACAGGCTCTGCTCATTGGTCAGAGGCCCCCTCACATCATGTCACTTGCGGTGGCATCTATCAGGGAAACTTCTGTAAACAAGTGGCTGGAGAAGTACAAGTCTGGGCTGGCCTCTCACACATGCACGTTCTGTTTTTCCTTTCCCCTTCAGTCTTTGTGTGTTTGGTTGGTTGACCTCAGCTGTAATTCTGAGAAACCCAAGGATGGAAAAAAAAACACACACACCTCATTCTGAAGCATTTGCATTTCCTGAAGTCAAAAGGCAAGGTGTAGTTTAGTTTTTCTTTATGAATCTTTTACATGGCTTCCAACAAAAGGAAAAACATAGGCAACCCTCTTCAAGATTGGCATTGCTGGAGCCACCTGAATAAGGGGACTGGGAACAGGACACTGGGGAAGCTGTTGGTGGAAGGGGATTTTGAATGTGGAGAGGAGCCCAGAGGAAGGCAGCTCTTGGCCTTTTACATCTGATAGGCTGTCAGCAGGAAGGCAGTGCAGCCTGCTCTGTGGGGGCCCAAGCACTAAGGCTCCATGTGGAAGTTTGAAGAGATGATGCACTTGGCTAACAACAAACACTGTCCTTGTCCCTATTTCTCAGATAAGGCTATGGGAAGACTTTCTCTAAAGACACACACATCACATTGTAAATCACAGGGCTGGTAGCTCAAATATGTGACCAGTTAGTGCTGTTCAAAGACATGTTGGGCTGATTTGAGGGTCATGAGTGTCTTGTCAAGAGCCAGATGGACATTTCATTGGTCACCAGCCATGTGTCACCTTATGAGTCCATGATATGACTTTCTGTTTTGATTATGAAGACAAGAAGGAGTGACTTACAAACAGGTGGTGTTACCTGTAGTGGGAACCCTGTGATATCCCTGGAATTTTGAATGCTGAGAGAACATACCACTGTTTCATTTATTTCCTAGATGAATGTGATGTCTGGAGGGGTTTCGTGTGAAGAACTGACCACTCGGGTCGGAGAAATGAGAATTGTCTCTAAGTCATGGCTGAGTTGATGGCCTGGGAGTTAGAATCTTGGAATTTCCTCTCTTTGGGCTCTACTGTCCTTAGCTAAGTGAAGAGCAGTATGGGTTTGATGATCTAGAAGGGCCCTTCTAGTTTATCCTTGCAAACTGTGTAGACTCTGCTATGCATGGTCAGGCTTGCTGCAGCAGGGAGAAATTCAGTCCCAGTTCTGGGTGTCTGTCTTTGTGGGCATGTTGCTCTACCCCATATAGGCAGCTATGTTCACACATTTAGATTTCCAAACACCGGTAGAACAGAACATTTCAGGTCTGGGTACAATCTTAAGTTATATACAGCCAGGATCTGTAAGGATTTGCATGGTTTGTAAAAATACAAGCTCCTTGAGAGGTCACTTGGTCCAGGCTTGGTAATCATACAATACATGTGTTCCCCAATGTCACTCCCATGGCACACTTGTCCTAGGTCACTCCATGAGTTAATTACAGAGGCATAACCAGAGCCTGAGCATCTTACTCCTTCTGTGGAGCATTCCCTCTTTCAAACAACTTAAGCTCTCTGTAAATTTTTCTGAAGACCAAGGCCTTTAGATGGGCAAGATTTATAAGCCCAAGCTTGGCCTCCTCCAGGATCATGGAATTTTTTGGACATTGTTTGGAAGCCTGGAGAGAAGTAAGTGCCAATGAAACCCTCTGGGCTAGTTTCACAGAAGACAGAGCTAGGGAGACAGAGATGTTGCTTAAGGTGGCTGAAAGGATCATGTTCTAGAAATCAGAATAATGGCAGCCTAAAGACTGGCCCACCCCCCCTCCCCTTGAGATCTCAAAATGTCAGACTTGAAAGGGCCATTTGGTGCCAACTTAACCAAGACCCTAGTTCTATGACTGGGGACATTGAACCCAGAGGAACTGAGGGTCTGGCCCAAGATGTCACCATAGATTAGTGGCAGAGCTGAGTCCAGAGCATGTCTCCTTACTCCTAGTCTAGGGCTATGTCCTCGGTTTATATGTCTTTCCATGGAAGAGTGAGGGTTAAATGTAGGAAGAAGTGGGTTTGCAGCCACTATACACACTGGACTAAAACTGAGGAAAAAGCTGGAGGTACTGGGAAAAGAGCACTGATGAGCTCCCTCTTGCAGAGGAATGCCAACAGGTGCCTTCCGGCCCATGTGCTGAACCCTGCCAAGCCATAAGTCAAAAGTCTTGAGGAGGCTTCCATCAAGATGTAACAAAGCCCAAGGTGGCAAAAGAAACCATGCCAACCATTCCAGCCAGATGGTATGTGGTCAGAGTGCCAGGCACCTTCCAGTTTGATATTAGGATGAGACAAACACAGTGCATCTCAAAAAGAGCATCTGGGCTCTAGTCAAGGCTTTTAACTGTCACCTTCCTTACTGACCCTCAGTTACTGCATCTGTAAAATCGGATGATAATAGTCAACCCCAATGGCTGTTGCAAAGATGCAATGAGGGTCAAGTGGCCAGTGCAGCATGTGGCTTAGAGGAGACATTCAGGAAATGGTAGTCCCTTCCTCCCCTACTCCCCTTTTCCT